CGAAAATCAAAAAACTTAATTTTTCGATATATTTCAAACATATATAAATATAATACTATATAGAATGATAAATAAGTAAACTATCATCTATACAATGAAAATATTTTGATGAGTTTTCTATTGTATTTGTTTGATTGAGATATATAATAATTTTATTAAAGGTCAAAAACAAAATAGTTTTTCTTTTCGGAAATTCAAATAAAATTAATTTCAAGAACTTCCTTAAAATTATTATAACTCATTTTGTAGAGAATTGTTCGTTGAAACAAAATTATATTCACTTATTCTAGATGCTGTAAAATTAGGCCATTGAATTATCTAGAATTTCTGACAATTTATAATCCATAGTATCCTAGTCAAAAATTTTGAAATCAGTTCATTAGATCTCGTTAGCCATATTAATCTGTCTTGTGAACAACAGCCATTTAAGAAATAAAAGAAAAAAAAGATGTTAGACATGTAAATATGTTAAGAGTAAGATTGTCAAGATTAAGGATATCCTGCATTTTAACAAACATCAACGTAATTTCATACGTTATATCTTAATAAAAAGAAGTTTGTTTTTTTAATAGAAATCAAATGCATTAAATGTGAAGAATATATAAATATACTGAAAAATATTAGACAATTACTTTTAAGATAATGGTAAATATGTATCTTTACTCTAAAGAAAATGAAATATGATTATCATGAGAATTTTCAGCCAATCATTATTGATTTATTTTCATTTTCAAAATAGAACAATAACACGTACTAAATAGAGCAGATAGTATACTCCCTAGTGAGATTCAATAATTCTTATGTAGCACGTAACAATAAATTTGCCATAGAATTTATTGAATATCTATATAATTCTGTCACAAAAACAACAGAGTTTTGTTTTTTTTGATTCCACCAGAATGTTCAAAAAAAAAAAAGCATACAAACACATTTTCAGAGAAGAAACAAAGTTATTCAAGACAAAGTGAGAACTTCTTATTCACTATTTATGTTTCATAGCAAACTAGGGGTGGATCCAGCAAACTTTCTAGGAAGGTGCAGTACAGTGCAGCAAATATTTTCAATGGGGGGTGCAGAGGGCTAAAAATAAGTATTTACTCTAGGAGAAAATGAATATTTTTCGCTCAAGGAGGGATGCGGCTGCACCCCCCTCCTGGATCCGCTCCTGTAGCAAACTTATTTACTCCATTCAATTGTTAAAGGGACTAAATTTTCATATTAGTTCAAACATATTGATAATGAACTGTTATAAAAGATACTAATTTTAATCTTAAAGATAGCTTAATTTCATCCTATCAGAAAACTTGTTGAAACTGATGAATTGTGTCTACAGTCGATAGAATTACAGAATAGAATTTTTTCAATCGGATGCGATAGAATCCTACAGCATAATCTTGATCTAGGATCATAAAGAAAGGCAACTACTATTATATTAGAGCATTATTCAAAAGTTATTTAACTACTTATTTTAGCAAAAATAAATATTCAATAGAATAAATTTTATATTCGACTTCATAAGTCAGTGTTAATCGTAAACACAGTTAATTGCATAAAATATTATGTCACATCGAAAAAGATATTTAAAAAAAAAAAAAATTTATTTTAAGTCTTTGAACTGATAGAAAACTTTTTTTTCTTCTGTAAAAAACTCTTCAAATCAAAGTTAAATACCTTTATTACTTAATAAAGAGCATAAGTAGAAAGCTTACTAAATTTTCAATAATAGACCGGACATATATATATGTCACTAAATAATGATATATTAAATGAAAATTAATATAGGGTATTTGTTCTGAACTGCTGCATCCGCCTTCTAGACAAATGTAGTGCGCAAAAAAAAGATGATTTTGTAATTAGTGAAATCTAAAATCTTGAGTAGTACCGGAACTATGATAAGGTTTTTCTTCATACTATTTATTAAATAACAAAAGATATATAATTTCAGTGATTTAATTGGTCTGAAGAATTTTCTACGGAAAAAAAAGGAGATTGTCTCTACTAATGTACGCACGATTAAAACAACTTTTCAATATGACACATATCTATTCAAATAGAATATTTGATGTCATTTGTAGTATTCTTTCTAATGACATATTGAATTATAAAATTGACTAAATATTATATGATAAGAATTACTTTTTTTTTTTTTTTGTCATTTGTATTGTTGAAAATTTCCGGTATGAATAAAAACAAAAAAAAGGTCTTATTTTTTAATTTATACTTAAACGAAAGTTACTTATTATGTCAAATGCTATTCGTTCGATCGAATTATCTATTGACATAGAAAATTTCAATTTATAACAGTGGATATACTATAGTTTACAAATATAAATAGTTCAATAATTTTGAACGAATGAAAAACATCATACTTTGATTATATCATCAATCAAAATTCAATAGATTGAGCCATGAAATTTCTTGATAGGATACATCAGACTATCGGCAATAATATGACAAAAACCAGATTATTCTAATTTATTGAGTTGTTTTGAGATATATGCAAAGAAAAAGTATAATTATTGACTAATTGGATATATAAAATACTTCAACCTTGTTATATAAATATATAATGATATTAAATTAATGTTATGTAGGTTTAATATACGACTTTAAATATCGACTGATGTATAGTTTAGCAATATGATATGTTAACAAGTATAAATTGTGTTTATGATATTATCATTATACGAACAGCTAACAAAGAAAATAATCAAAAAGTAATTATCTATTAATTTTGTTATGATACAAAATGTTTCTTCGTTTAGTTTTGTCTATTGTTACGATGCTTTGTACGATCATCATTTGATACAGATTCAGACTAATATATTATTATGTTTTATTTAATTTTTGCATAGATCTATAATGAATTTATAATGATTTCAATAGAAAAAGAAAATAATAGATTATTTTTGTTTTTTCTTATAGTTCAACACTTCCGTTTATCAATAATAATAAAAAAATTACTAAGTCAATATTATGTTTTCACTTAGCATGTTACCTAATATGACATAAGATACTATTTAAATCCTCTCTTATTACATTTCTTTTGTTTTTCTATACAAAAAAAAAAAAAAAAGTTATAATTAAATCTTCGATATTTAAAAACATGAAATCAATCTATTGAAATTTTTCCGATAGATGAAAAAAAAAAAAACTTTTCTAAAGAATATCTTTCATAATAGTAAACTATTTTTTATTATTATGAAAATTATAAACGATAGTTATGATAAACGAAATAAATTAATAATGTGAATAATAGATATCATATTATGTGATATTTTCTTATCTCAATATATCATATGACATAGGAAAATCATTATTTTCTCTTTTGACAGATCAGATGATAAATGATCAACATACGAGAAACGATAAAATAGTACTCGATTATACAAGAATATAGTATATATCTTTGATTCATATAATTATGATTAACTTTCTTTCTTTCGTAAATTTCAGACAACACACGAAATTTATACATTTACATAGAAAATATTCTTTTTATCTTTAAATTTTTTTATTCGTGCTCATGCAATTAAAACAAAAAAAAATGTTTTGAAAATTCTCTAGATTAACAATTATATTTGTTACTAGAAATGTACAATTAATGATATGAAAGTAAATGAATCATGAACGATAGAATTTATATTGATATAGTATATGATATGAAAAAAGAAATTATTGATAGTATCTAACTCAATATACATATATATATATATTTTTTCTTTGGAAAAAAAAGTAATTAATATATGCGACTCATAGCAGTGATAAATCGACCAATGCGCCTATTTTGTTATCTAATATTGACACACGTCTATCACATTTTGATGTTAGATTAACATAATTGTGGAGTCAATAGAGTTCTTGAATTGAATGTATATATATATATACGGTTAAGTTCCTTTCTTTTTTGTTTTCTTTTTGAAAAATTAGCTTATCGATTAAGAACATCTTTGGATCAATGAATTCGATAATAAAGATAGATAAAAAGTCAGGAAATAAATTCAAACGAAATCATATGTCATTTGGGAATTTAAAAAAAAAAAAGAAAAAGAAATATCAATTGAGAGATGACAACTTTCCCCTCTAAGGAAGAATATTCACTTCTCTATTTCCTTTTGTAGAATGTCTCTTTATTATTATTATTTTTTTTTGTTTTGTATCAAAAAGACAAAAGTAATAGTCATAAAGAAGAAGACGAAGTATAGAAAACATATAATGCATTCGTTAGAATGGTAAAGAAATCATTTCTATATATATATATATTTATCCATAGTATATGTATAATCATTAGACATTATATTATCTTTCTATTATAAATATAAATCAAGACAAATAATAGAAAACTTTTATTTAAAAACAAAAACTTAATTTACTTGAAAATTTTATTTAAAATAATTTAAGGTAATTAGTTTTAGGTTTTTTTTTTAGCAAAAAAAATAGAAGTTTTTCTTTTAGTATTCGATTCAATAATTCTATACAAAACATGTATCATCTATATTAGTCTTGTCTTGATTTTAATAGAAATGTCAGTCAAATCCAAACATATTTTTATTCCATCCATCATTTATAAATGTTGAGATCGGAAAGAAATTTTCTGTTTATTATCATTAAAAACAAAAAGAAAAAAAAATGACAAATAAAAGAAGACGTAAATTATCATTAGAAACTTTCATTTTTTCTACTTTTTTTTTCTTCTTTACTTAGTTTACAAAAATCTTTCTAGATTTCTATTCTCTATTTATTTGAACGGTAAGCAAACGAATGAAAAACCGAATTATTAATAAGTTTTGTTATTTTTCTTCATAATAAATATAAAAAGAAATAATCTCCTATAGATTAAATAATAGAAATATCTAATTGATTTTATCCATAGAGATAAATACATCCTTAATTTATTCTATAAAAATAAATAAAAATCTAATAAATAATTTAAATATCAAAATATAATTTTTATATCTATTATTTAGATATGTAAAAATTATTCAAAAGAAAATTTCATCATGAGTCGATATCCATGTTTATCAAATCAAAATGGATCAATTAATTCTGATACATTACATGATATTGAAGTAGCTGGTTATCGTTATGTTATATTGACAATATGTATTTTTGGTATTGTATGTAATATACTTAATTTATGTGTTCTACTTCAACGTCGTCTTAAAGAATCTCCTTATACATATTTAACTGGTTTAGCTGTAGCAGATATGCTTACATTAATATCAATATCACCATTTTCAATTGTTCGTGGTGATTATATACGTCATGAAAATATTTTTTTTACATTAGTACGTTTTGAAACACAATTTTATATGCCATTAGCAAATTATTTTGGTCAAGTAAGCATAATGATAACATTAGCATTAACAATTGAACGTTATTTATTTACAACATATCCATTACGTACACGAAGTTTTTGTAAACCACGTTACGCACGTATTATAATAACAATAATATTATTTATATGTGCATTACTTAGTTTTCCAAGATTTTTAATTGAAAATATTAAAAAATCAATTGGATCAATTGATATATTTAATTCATCACAATGTTCAACACAACCATTTTTAATAAAATATTCATTAACAAATTTAACACATATTGGTCAATGTTTTTGTATTATTGGTTATACACGAGAATATTTTTTACCATATAGAAATGCATATTATATAACAATGTTTATATTAAATCAAATATTACCAGTTATAATATTACTTTTTTTAAATTTAAAATTAATAAAACGTGTTCAAAATTCAAATCGTTATACATTAGATGAACTTGTTGCACGACAACATATACATTTAACAACATCATCATCAACATATATAATAAATCCAATAAAACAAAAACGTTTACGTGATGAACATCGTTTAACTAAAACACTTGTTGCTATTGTTGTTGTTTTTCTTATATGTAATACATTTACAATAATATCATATCCAAATTTTATACGACAAATAACAATTAATAAATATCCAAATTATATTTATTCTGGTTTTCGTATACAAAAATTAATAACAAATATAATGTTATTATTAAATTATTCAATAAATTTTTTTTTCTATTGTGCATTTAATCAAAAATTTTTAGATACACTTAAAACAACATTTCATTATAAAATATGTTCATATATACAAGATAAATTTCAACATCAAAATAATAGTATAACAACACAACGTACATTATTTAATAGTACAACATCATCAATAAATTCATCATATTATTTACAATCAAAAATACATAATTCATGTAAAAATTATTCAACATATGATGAAGAATTTCTACGTTTAAAACAACAACAACCAAAACAATATTCTTTACGAAAATAAAATAAATATTAATTTTGAACATTTCATTTTTTTTATTATTATTTCAACTATCATTCATTTTTCTCGAACATAAATATAAACATATATTTATAAGCACATAGTGCATTATGTAAAATATATTAAATTATTCTAATAAAATAATCAATCGATTGAAAAAAAATTAAAAAAAAAAGAAATCAAACAAATTATTTGTTATAATGAAGAATAAAATCTAAGATAAGTATAATAGATTTATATGGATAAAATCATATGTGAGCAATATGATTAAAAAGTAGGTACGTCCTATTTTGTCTCAAATGGCCCATATATAGATCTTGAGAAGACGAGAGACAAAGACTACTTGTTTTTTTTGTTGATCTCACGAGGGAAGTCATAAAATTGATAAATCACTTTTGAGTCGAGACAATGTACATTATGTAGATTTAAATGAGCTCTGAGTACTCTGGAAAACAAAAGTTCTTGCGCTTAGCTTATGATTTCGAAGATATTACACCTAGAAAGCATTTACATAGAGACGGATCTTAACCAGAATGTTTAATATTATTGAACCTAATTCTAAATAAAATTAGTTAAAAATGAATAACTGTAATTTATATTTTATTGAAATAGAAAATTAAGATGAACTATCGAGAAACAAGATTTTCTTTTGTAAACATTCATAACAATTTTTATTAAATCTATTTTCTTTATAAATAAATATATAGTATTTTTATCATGGAAATTTTCACAATGAATTTTATTAGATAATTCTTTCGAAAGGATATTAGAGTGTTTACATCGATTTTATCTGAATTGTTTCAAACTTTCAATAAGGATCTCGATGAAAACTATAACAAATTTACATGAGAATGTCTAAAAACAAAAGCATTTCAGCATTAGTTTTGTACGTTAATCTTGATTGATTTTTTTTTTGAATGAAAGATTCCAAATATAAGATTTTCCTCGCTCATGAGAAATCTTAGTTTTCTCAATAGACAAGTACAAAAAAAAACTAGACTTTTGAAATTTAAATGAAATATTTCATCTTTTTGATGAGTATTTGTTCTGAAAGTTAAAATAAGAAAAATCCTAAAAATATTATTTTGAATAGAAATGCTCTTAGAAAATTATGAAGTCATCATTTTAAAAATTTCCTATGACTTTTTACTTTCAGAATATTAAATTTCACTACTTCTAAAAATATAAAAAATAGTGTCATATAAGATCTTTATAAATTTTCTTACGCTTTTAAAAACATCATCCTATTTAAATCTTGAATTATTTGATATTTTCAATGACTGCTAGCGTGTTTCACAAAGATCAATATTTATTTTAAGTGTATTTAAAATACTTTGGTCATAAAAATATTCATTTTTTTTTTTTTTTATATATTATTTATAAAATAAAAAGACGGAGAAAAATATTTCGCAGATGTTTAATTGACAAAAGGATAGAAAAAGAAAATGGCGTGAGAGTTATATTTGTAAAGGAGAATAGTCATAGCAACCAGTAACGTAATGAGAGAATATATATATATATATGCGCTATTTATATTTTGTTTTTATTGTTTATGGTAATAAAAATTTTTCTTTCTTTCATTATTGTAGTTAAGTCAATCTCGAATTGCACAAGTTAAATCAAAAAAAAAGAAAGAAAATCAACATCCAAAACATGTATTCAAATCAACAACCACCTATTTATACAACTCGACATTATATTCATGATCCTCAATCAAATTCAAGAAATAATTATAATCCATCATATGATTCAGTACGTCCACCAGTTCAACCTTATCCTTATTATACAAATAATCAACAACCAACAACTGTAACCTATATTAATGATCGATCTAATTATGGACAACAATCAACATCATATATTCCACCAAATACAAATCGTTATCCATCACCAAATAATTATAATCAAAATAATACTATTCGTCCAGCTGCAAGTGGAGGTTCAATTGAAAAAACTAATACTATGTCAAATGAAAATCCATTTTATAATCCATCTCGTACATATGAACAAAATAATACACCACGTACAATAACATCTATAACATCTCCACCAAAAAGTGGTGGTGGATTAAATAATACATTAAATCTTTCTGATGAAAATCCATTTCATACGATTTATGGTGGATATCATTATCCATCACAAATTGATCCATCAAAAAGAATTACAACTCAAAATCCAGCTGCACGTTCAACAGAAAATAAATCATTAAATTTATCTGATGAAAATCCATTTTATTCAACATATGGACGTTATTATTATCCATCACAAATTGATCCACAAAAACGTATTACTGAAATGCCAAAATCAAGTGGACCATTAGTACCAACAAATGAAATGTCTAATGATAATCCATTTAGTAATTATCGACCACCATCATATCAAAATTATTCAAATAATAGTACTTCATCGAATGTTGATTGGAATAGAAATAATAATCCAGCACCACTTTCATATCGACCTATTGAAGTACAAAGACCATTACAAAATTCTTATAATCAACAACAATCATCATCTATTCGACCACCAAGTCCACCTTCACCACCACCACCGGTTTCAACACGTATAACAACTCAAAAACCAAATTCTTCTGCACCTTTAGATAAAACATCATTAAATATGAGTCCTGATAATCCATTTGCACAAACTTATGGTCAATATCATTATCCATCATCAGAAGAAATTAAAATTCAAAAACGTAATAATCGTTTTGCAGAACAACAACCTGTTCGTACAAATACAAATAACAACAATCGACCAGTACAACCAACAAATCAAATGACTGAATATCCTGAAACAGAAAAAAAAGAAATTCTTTCAGGAAAAGGAAATACAAAATTTTCTCGTTTTGATGTTAATTTTTGACATTATAATTCATATACTTTTTTTTTTCTTTGTAAATCAAAAAAAAACAATTCGCAAAACTAATTGATATCTAACAGGTATTTTTACGAATCATAGTGTACACTTTTCTAACTTTTACTTTATATAAGAAAGTATATAGTAGAATTTCTTTCCTAAACATTTACCATTTATTTAGTATCTTTCTACTTCTAAAAATCGGATTTATTTTGTTAAGTATACATTTGTTTATTAGTCGATGGCACTGAAATGAAACACATTGTTGGTGCGAAGCGTCATACATCAATGCTTTTTTCCATTACATTAATATATATTTATGTTCTTGAAACAAATTCTTTTAGTAAAAAAATGTCGGATTTCTATCGGTTTTCATTCCTAGGCTTTTATATATATATATATACATTGAAAAAGTAAAGAATATTTTAACGGAAAAGAATGTTTTTTATTTGTCTTTGTTGAAAATATTATATTTTCAAGTCAATTCGAATTTTGTCACAATAGAACATTTTCTATGTGTCATACGAACTATATATGGACAAAAATTTCCATCAAAATTTAGCCAAATGATTATAACTGAAGTTGACAGGCTCACTAAAACAACCTTGTTGATTCAAAAAGTAGATATCAATTTAAGTGATTTTCTTATAAGTTGTTAACTGAAGGTAGTTTAATACTTAAATAGTTGTCTATCAAATGTGTTACATAGGTCTGATCTTCTCTTTATTCTCAAAATCATTGAGCAATTTCTATTATTTTTATATTCTTATAGAAAAGTTTACAAATAATAGTTTTTAATCAACTAATGTTAATAAACAGTAAATTATTTCCATGAAAATAGCCAAAACTTTCAAATATTTAATAACAAGACTAATGTCCATTTCAGAGTTAAATGGTCATGGGCATTTTTGATAGGAATGAGATAGAGATCTGTGGTTTTCACTGTTAGAAAGAGCAGATGAATATGCATCGAATTATATATAGAAACATTTTTCTAACACCATTCCTAAAGGTTTAGTCAAACGTTTTCATAGAATTGCTTTTTAAATAGTGGCTTTTCTATCAAAATACTACAAAAATTTACATTTTTTTTGATTATTTTGTTGAAAAAAATGAGATGGTAAATTGTGTTCCGATGGTTTAAATATCATACTGGTAGTAGTTAGAAACAGAGTCATGATATAGTTTTACAGCCTTTTCTTTGACGATTCTAGAGCACTCCTGAAAATCAATAAATTAATATCGTGACCATGAGAAGCATGCTGTTTTTCTTGAAGTTTTATGTAATACCTATAGAAAAGTAGCTAGAAAAATCTTTCTATATATAATTCGATGCGTCTTCATCTGCTCTTTTCAACAGTTAAAACCACAGATCTCTATCTCATTCCTATCAAAAATGTCCACGGCCATTTAACTCTGAAATGGACATTAGTACGTACTTCAATACTTTTCGATATATTTTTTAAACCAACTGTGTTAGCTATGTAAATTTTCATTTATAATCAAACATAGACAATATCTAATGAATAGTATTTATTCAAAGGAAAAAAAAAGCAATTTATATGTTTCAAAATAAGATTAGGAATTTATTTATTAAGTTTACTTTTATTAAAGTATAATTTCAATTTATCTTTTGTTTTGCTTTTATTTTTTTTTTATAAGAAAGAAAATTAAAGAAACTTTCTATCCAGTTAAATGCTGTACGATCAGAAAAATTCAACGATAAGATTCTTGCTTTCAATTCCTCTATCATTTTTCTGAGGCCTTCGACTATAAGTCAAAAATCATAATGCATATCTAATTGTTATCATTTTCACATTCCGAAAAGTTTACTTTTTTGAAAATCTTTCCATTTATATTAAAATATTAGAAAGAAATATAATAAACATAATAATAATGAAATTAAAAAAAGAAGCATGTTACAACCAACGTTTGAATTTAAAACATGTAAGCATTGAAATTGCCAATGTACCCATCAGAGCTAGTACAATATAATAAGCATATTTATATCTAAGTTCAGGCATATTGTCAAAATTCTAAAGCAAAAAGAAATAAATTTAATGAAAAAAACAAAACATTATTTACCATGCCATAAACTGAACTAATAAATGTTAATGGAATAAAAATAGTTGTTATAATTGTTAATG